AGCCCGCCCTGCTCCAGTGCAAGATGCACTTTGACGGGCGCAAATGCAAGCTGCTGCTCAGCTCTGTGCACGAGGACGACAGCGGCGTCTACACCTGCAAGCTCAGCACCACCAAAGGTATGGGGTGGGGGGTGTGCATGGCAGGGTGGGGCTACGGGCCCTTCCTGCTCTATGCCAGGTTGCACCGTCCTGGCACTGGGGAGACCGTGACCCCCCAGATAGATGCCTCCAGATGGGGTAATGTGCGTGCCTGCACATGTGCAAGGGAACCCGGCACCTTGCACGCACGTGCGCGCAGGCAGGGCACCCTGCACGGCCATGGGGCCAGGCACGGCCAGGACCCGGTGCTCACCCCCGCCACGGGGCCCTGGTTGCAGAGGAGCTGACGTGCAGTGCCCGGCTGACGGTGCGGCCCTCGGTGGCACCGCTCTTCACCCGCCCGCTGGAGGACCTGGCCGTGGTGGAGGGGCGCGCAGCCCGCTTCGACTGCAAGATCAGCGGCAACCCGGCACCTGCTGTCACCTGGACCCATTTCGGTGAGCGGCTGCCCTCGTGGGGCCACGACCTTGTGCTCGGGTGGTGGCTCCGGCGTGGCACTGACGCGCTCTGCCCCCAGGGCTGCCGGTGCAGGAGAGCGAGAACGTGCGGGTGCTGCGGGACCGGGGGCTGCACTCGCTGCTCATTGCGCACGTGGGTGCCGAGGACGAGGGGCGCTACGCCGCCAGCGCCCGCAACGCCCACGGCCAGGCCGAGAGCGCCGCCCAGCTCTACGTGGAGGAGCCGCGTCCCGCCGCTGCCGCCCACGTGTGAGTGCCGGGGCCACGGGCGGGGGGGCTGGGGGCCAGTGCAGGCCCTAGCTCCAGGCCTGGTGCCCAGGGCTGTCGATGGAGGTGCAGGCGCTGTGCTCCGAGGGATCGCGGGACTGGTGCAGGGCTCGGGTTCTCGCCCGGCTCCGGCGCAGGGTGGCAGCTTCAGCTGTGCCCTGGCCCTGCTCCCAGACTGTTGGCTGAAGCCGGGCCTCGGTGCCACGGCCTCCACCCCTGCCGGAGCCGGGCACCTCCAGGGGCTGGAGCAGGGCCCAGGAGAGCTGCTCTGCCTGGGTGTCTCCCCTGCCCCCCGGGTGCCAGTGGCGCAGGGTGGCAGCACTGGAGGAGCCACGCGGGGGTGCCATGTGTGCTGGCTAAGCAGTGGGCACACGGGTCTTGCAGCTCCAAGCTGGAGAAGATGCCGTCCATCCCCGAGGAGCCGGAGCAGGTGGAGACAGAGGCCGAGCGCTTCACCATGCCCGACTTCCTGCGGCCACTGCAGGACCTGGACGTGGTGGAGGGCAAGGAGGCCGTGCTGGAGTGCCAGGTGGTCGGGCTGCCCTACCCC